TAATAGAGTGTGGCTGCTGGTGCATTCAGTGTCTCCTCCGTCACCCTGCCTTCCACAATCTTAAAGTCTCCAGTACGGCTGTGAGCAACAATCAGGAGGTTTTATTCCAGTTATTTCCTTTAGTGGAGCTATTTTATTTTATACAGAAAAATTGGGAAAATTCACATCACATTTTGAAAGCAAATACAATAATGCTATTTATAAAAAAAGATAACAACTTTTATCTTTGCCTAGAATAATAGCATGTAATAAAATAATAATACATCCTACATTAGACCCTTTTTTCGGCTGTGTACCCGCTCTGAAACGCCACTTGTCCGCAACACAGATCATCATCTATCATAAATAAATCCAGTCAGTCCTTACAAGCACAGAGCGGCGTCGTTCATGTGTATCTTTAAACTGGAAGCTGCTATTTCCGACAGCACGTCAAGGCAGCACCCCGTCCGGCGAAGACGCACGTGTGAAGCAGCGGAGTTTCTGTCTCCTCCAATCAGCGCGCGGCCTCACTCAGCCGCCGTCCAATGGGAATAGCGCGCGTGCAGGTGGCCGCGCTATTATCAGCGGGTGCCGCTTCACTCGCAGCCTAGAGCGAGTCAATTTATGGAAAGACAAGTGGAGCCCTTAATGGTTCCCATCAAAACCACTAACAGCAGCACCGGACCGGCCGACTTCCGCGAGGATTCCTGTGGCGGACGCATGCAGCCTTCTCCCAGCTGACACTCTCCGACCACAACAAACACACGGAGAGAGAGAGAGAGAGACATTTCTGGGAGTTTGACCGAGCTGTTCACTTCCCGAGAGAGAAGGGAGAGAAGTTTTCCAACATTTCCAGAGTCTGCTTCTTCCTCACCCAGGATACTTTTTTTGGAGAGGGCGGCAGAAGTGGCCTGGCTCCTGAACACCACCAGTCCGCTCTGCGCCTTTATTCACTCCTGTTAGTTTGTTTTTATTTCCCCTTTTTAAATTACTTTTTATCCAAGTGAGTTTGGTGGTTCATGTTCACAAATGTTAGCGGTCGGGCAGATGGAGGCTAACCGGCAGAGTGCTTTCGTTCTGGGCAGCACCCCGCTGGCGGCGTTGCACAACATGACCGAGATGAAGACGTCCCTGTTCCCGTACGCGCTGCAGCAGAACCCGGGGGGCTTCAAGGCGCCCTCGCTCTCCAACCTAAACTCCCATATCACCATGGGGACCCCGCACGGAATAAGCGACATCCTGGGGAGACCCATCACCACGGCCGGACAGCTGCTCTCCGGGTTCCCCAGGATAAACGGCCTGGCGACCACCGCGGCCGCCGCCGCCGCGGGGATGTACTTCAGCCCGGCGGTGTCGCGGTACCCGAAGCCCCTGGCCGAGCTGCCGGGGAGGGCGCCCATCTTCTGGCCCGGGGTGATGCAGGGTTCTCCCTGGAGGGACCCGCGGGTTCCCTGTCCATGTAAGTCCTGTCTGTCTGTCTGTCTGTCTGTACACTCGTATGGTTAGTTTATGAAGTGTATGAATGTAGATAAGCCCGAGTTTGTGTGTTTGGTTGCACAGTGTTGTGTTAGAGCTGTCTGTCTGTCTGTAGATATTATTGAGGCCTGTTGTGGGCCTGTCAACACACAGCAAACACAAATAACTACATTATAATTCACACACAGCAAATCTCAAATCTGTCCATTAATATAGAGCTCTTATAAATACTATAGCTTCCAAATGGATGAATAATTATTAAGCACTGTGGTTGTAGTTGTAATAGGGTATTATATTAGAATGTGATACTTGGCAGGACTTTAAAACTTAAAATAATAATAGTATTAAAATAATATAATTGTACAATAGTAAATAGTTGGTCAGTGAACGCATCATGTAGCTCAGGCACTTTTAGGAATATTTGAGGCTCATTTTGACTGAAATCTTTATTAATACAAACAGCAGTTTAAAGGTTGACTCGGTGTTGAACTATTCCTCCTTTCTTTCTTTCTTTCTCCAGCTCAAGCTAATTTAATGATGGACAAGGACGGCAAGAAGAAGCACTCCAGACCCACTTTTTCAGGACAGCAGATCTTTGCTCTGGAAAAAACTTTCGAGCAGACGAAATACCTGGCCGGCCCAGAGAGAGCCCGCCTGGCCTACTCTTTAGGAATGACCGAGAGCCAAGTGAAGGTAAAAACTGCTCTTCACTCATTTTTAGTAAATGTGGAAAATATTATTTGGCTGACTTTCATATTTCTGCAACCTGAGAAATCCCAGCAAACAATCTGATATTATTTATAAAGGTTTATTTATTTCGGAACAATTGTATACAACCTACTTATATTGTTGTTATTATTATTATTATTATTATTAGTAGTAGTAGTAGTATTATTATTATTATTATTATTATTATTATTATTATTATTATTATTATTAGTATTATTA